GGCTCTTTGACCGCGCTAGGACGCTTCTGGTGTCCACGGCTGGTGACTGCAGAACTGATTGACTCGGCGCGTGAGGACTCCCCGCCCTCGGATTCTGGTGGCTCCTTTCGAGCGGCAAGAATCTGGTCGTCATCCCAGGACTCTTCGTAGTCTTCTAATGGGCGATAGAATGGAGCGAGCTTGCGCTCGATGATTAGCTGGGTCACAATAGCCTGATTCCAATCCCGAGGACCGGTGTAGATCCCTTGTGGGGTGAGATGGCCGAAGTCGACCATGTCTTCATGGTGCCCGCGGCCATTCGAGGCACTGTTTCCCATGGCGGCAGGGTGTGGGCACGCAGAGAGAAGGTGAGGGTCGAGAACAAGAGGCGGTCCTCCGCTCGCAAGAGAGCGTCGGATGCAGGCTGTCGTCACAGCCCAGTGACGGCGACAACAACGCTTACACCGTCGGCGCGCCCCTTCGGCTTTCCCCGTTCCTCCTTTACGCGCCTCGCTCATCCGCTCTTTGGCCGTCGACAATCGATGGCTCGCTCACGGACAGCCTGAGGCTCTCGTGAACTCGGACGCGTTGCAGCACCAACACGATTGACTGATTCTTTCCAAGTGTGTCACGGCTGTCTGTGACTCGCTCCCGCAGGCTGACGTCGGAGCGTTTGATCCACCGCCATTTGTTTCGGTCAACTGACTACGCTCTAAATTTTGCGTTGCAGGCGTGGGGACGTCGGAGAAAGGCTGTTGTTACCTTTTCCCTCTCATGTGAAGACCTGTGAGGATCTGAACAGACATATGTCGTTCCAAACATCGAGGACATTCGCGCACATGCGTATTTCGCACGACCCCCGTCGCGTGCCATGGGCGCTTCGAGATTATTAGCACTCACTGCACGCCGTGTGCCTAAAAGTCGCTCCCAGGCGTGTCTGTGTTCCCATGGGTGGCATACAGAGTGTGCCGGATTGACTAGGAGAGAAAAAATGAGGATGTTCCCAGCCTACGGCGGAGAGGGGACGCGTTTCCACCACGGTGGCAGCGAGAGAGCGCGGGTTCCACGACTGAAGGAATCGCCACGTCAGCTAAGCGCGCTCGCATTGGGCGGCCCTGGATTTATACCACTGCCCTTAGCCGACCGCCTCCTCCACATTCCGGACCACTCTCTCTTCCTTCTCACTTTCCCCTACCGCTTTCTGCGCCCGCTCCTCCTGCTCAAGGCCTGTCGACATGGATAACCCATGGACGAAGACCGGAGAAGAAGTGCTGCAGTACTACGCCGTGGACCAGACCCGGGGTCTTTCGTCAGAGGCAGCTGCTAAGCACGCTGAACTTTACGGGAAGAACGGTGCGTGATATCCGTCCCTATGGCGCAATTCCTCCCGCAGGTGTTTATCAAACCCCTCCTCGCATCCAGAGCTCCCCGAAGATCCCGCGACACCATTATGGGAACTCATCCTCGAGCAGTTTAAGGACCAGCTGGTCCTCATTCTTCTCGCCTCTGCCGTCGTCTCATTCGTCCTCGCTCTCTTCGAGGAGTCTGAGGGCTCCGCCTGGTGGAGTGCATTTGTCGAGCCCCTCGTCATTCTCCTCATCCTCGTGGCCAATGCCACGGTGGGTGTGATCCAGGAGACGAACGCGGAGGCGGCCATTGACGTTAGTTGTTTCAGACTGTGATGGGTACGTGGGTAGAACTGACGCCGTCGTACCACAGGCCCTCAAGGAGTACTCTCCTGACGAGGCAAAGGTTCTGCGTGACGGCCAATGGACGCGTATTCATGCGACCGAACTCGTTCCTGGAGATATTATCTCCATCGCTGTCGGTGACAAAATTCCTGCGGACTGCAGACTGCTTTCTGTCGCTTCTACTAGCCTCCGTGTTGACCAAGCTATCCTTACCGGCGAGAGTGTTAGCGTAAGCAAGGTTCTGGATGTTGTCCAGGATCCCCGCGCTGTTAAGCAGGACATGATCAACCTGCTATTCTCCGTGCGTATAAACTTGGAACCTAATACTGGTGTTATTTACTGATTTTTACATTCATACAGGGCACTACCGTCGTTAATGGCAAGGGTACCGCTGTCGTCGTGTTCACTGGGCAGAAGACCGCCATTGGTGACATCCACAAGTCAATCACGTCGCAGATCAGCGAGAAGACCCCTCTGAAGCGCAAGCTCGACGACTTCGGCGACATGCTCGCCAAGGTCATCACCGTTATTTGCGTACTCGTCTGGCTCGTGAACATTCGTCACTTCTGGGACCCTGCGCACCATGGCGCGCTCAAGGGTGCTGTTTACTACTTCAAGATTGCCGTCGCTCTTGCTGTCGCTGCTATTCCTGAAGGTCTTGCTGCTGTCATCACTGCTTGCCTCGCTCTGGGAACGAAGAAAATGGCTCAGAAGAATGCTATCGTCCGCAACCTTCCCAGTGTGGAGACTCTCGGCTGCACGAATGTCATTTGCTCCGACAAGACCGGCACATTGACTACCAACCAGATGAGCGTGTCGAAGGTTGGTTCATTTTTTCCTGTTATAGTTACTATTCCTAACATAAATATCATAGTTCACCGTTGTCGATATTTCTGGCATCCCTCGGGAGTACCTCGTCGAAGGCACTACCTTCGCGCCCGATGGGTCGGTCTACCCTGCTGATGGCAAAAGCACCGCTGAAGTCCGCCCAGAGCCCCTGCAACGTCTGGCTGAAATCAGCGCAATTTGCAATGACTCCAAGATTGTTTACAACGCTGTAAGTAACGCGTTCGTGACGTTTGGAATAGTCGACTAATAGCACTACGCAACAGGACAAGAAGACATACGCAAACCTCGGCGAGCCCACTGAGGCGGCGCTCAAGGTCCTCGCTGAAAAGCTCCCCTGCCCTGATGCCGAGCTTGCGAAGAACCTGGCCTACCTCGACCCTGCCTCCCGCGCCAACGCCGTGAACGACTTCTACGAGCGCACGATCCCCCGCGTTCTGACCTTCGAGTTCTCTCGCGACCGCAAGATGATGTCCGTCCTCGCGCGCAAGAACGGCACCGGCGTGCTCTTTGCCAAGGGCGCGCCCGAGTCCATCCTCGAGCGCTGCACCTCCGTCCTCGTCAACGGCCGCGCGATCCCCATGATCCCCCAGCTGCGCGACGCGCTCCTCCAGAGCACGATCGCGTACGGCTCCCAGGGCCTGCGCACGCTCGCCCTTGCCTACGCTGAGAACCAGTCGCTCGACCCCGAGCACTACAAGTCGGAGACGACGGCCGGCTACGCGCGCTTCGAGAAGGACCTCACGTTCGTCTCGCTCGTCGGCATGCTCGACCCGCCGCGCCCCGAGGTGCGCAACGCCGTTGCGCAGTGCAAGGCCGCGGGCATCCGCGTCATCTGCATCACGGGCGACAACAAGGGCACCGCGGAGACGATTTGCAGGCAGATCGGCATCTTTGGCGAGCACGAGGACCTCACAGGCAAGAGCTACACCGGGCGCGAGCTCGACGATCTTAGTCCCGAGGAGAAGCTCAAGGCGGTTATGCGCGCGAGTCTGTTCAGCCGCACGGAGCCGACGCACAAGAGCCAGCTGGTCGACCTCCTTCAGAGCCAGGGTCTTGTCGTTGCTATGGTGAGCATGCCCCGAATGAACCTTTGGGATGTTTGCTGACATTTGTGCTAGACTGGTGACGGTGTCAACGACGCGCCCGCTCTCAAGAAGGCGGATATTGGTGTGGCGATGGGCAGCGGCACGGACGTTGCGAAGCTCGCCGCGGACATGGTCCTCACCGATTCGAACTTCGCTACGATCGAGCAGGCCGTCGAGGAGGGCAGGTTGATCTACAACAACACGAAGCAGTTCATCCGCTACCTCAGTGAGTATTTGGCTCCACGCTTGTTATGTCGAACAGTTCTGACATCGCCTCAGTCTCGTCGAACATTGGCGAGGTCGTCAGCATCTTCTTGACGGTCCTCCTTGGCATGCCCGAGGCGCTGATCCCCGTACAACTGCTCTGGGTGAACTTGGTCACCGACAGTCTGCCCGCGACCGCGCTCGGCTTCAACCCTCCCGACCACAGCATTATGCGCGTCCCTCCCCGCGACAGCCGCGAGCCCATTGTCGGAAAGTGGCTCTTCTTCCGCTACATGGTCATCGGCATCTACGTCGGTGTCGCGACCGTCGCCGGCTACGCGTGGTGGTTCATCTTCTACACTGGCGGACCCCAGATCACCTTCCACCAGCTGGTGCGTTCCCTACCCTTTCCCTTATTTGATACATCCGTAAACTGACACGACCCGTGCGCAGACGAACTTCCACCAGTGCTCGACGCTGTTCCCCGAGATCGGGTGCGAGATGTTCACGAACGTGATGGCGCAGCGCGCGACGACGATGAGCCTGTCCATCCTCGTCACGGTCGAGATGTTCAACGCGATGAACTCGCTCTCGGAGAACGAGAGTCTGCTCCGGCTGCCCATCTGGCGCAACATGTTCCTCGTCGGCGCGATCGCGCTCAGCATGGCGCTCCACGTCGCGATCCTCTATATCCCCTTCTTCACTGTGAGTTCCTCCGTGCGCCTGCGTGTGAAGACGAGAGGCATGTGCTGACGTTTGGTTCTTGTAGACTCTGTTCGCGATCGCGCCTCTCAACTGGACGGAATGGAAGGCCGTATTGTATTTGAGCGCCCCGGTGCTGCTCATCGACGAAGTCCTCAAGTTCATCTCTGTAAGCATCATCCTCGCACGCACTCCACTTGATACATATAGCTAACACGGAGACTGTCCGCGCAGGCTACGTTCGTCTCCCCGCCGTCGAAACTCAAGGTGGACTAGATGTCCGGGACCGGATAGATACATATACATCTGCACGTTAGGAACTCTGTAATGACTTGTAATGACTTGCAATAGTAGAGCTGCTTGAGGTTCCTCATCGTGTCGGCTTTCCGGTCCTCGAGGTTTGGGGGATAGTGCAAATGACTCCAATTAATGCAGACTTTCTTCGCTTTGTGATCACGAGATGGTGGAACAGACACAGACTTCTGTAACTTGCCCCATGGCTGAGTTGGTTACAGCGTCCGACTGTTATCGTCTTCTCGTATGGTAGATAGTTTACATCGGAAGGTCGTGAGTTCGAGCCTCACTGGGGCAGTCACTTTTGGGCAGTTGTTTTGCCCCCGTACGTACCTACTGGGTGGCCCGCGTGTGGTTCAAACAGTTTACTGGCACCCGCAACTGCAGGCTAGTAGTAAAATTGTATTGTATAGGTAACACATACCATGAGCTGGTACCCCATCCTCGTAGTACTTGCAAACGTTGCGTCCGATGATATGGTGTTGGTGCCGGTCGAGCAGATCGAAGTGCCCCACGCATAATGATATATGGTGAGTTCATTAAGTTGTTATCATACGGTCTCCCAAGATTTCAAGCTTCAAGGTCGCCTGCGCGAAGCACATACCTCAGGCCTCAGTACTCAGTACTCAGTGCCGTGGCAGCCAACACCCCGACGGGCAGAACACCGACGGCCCGCAGACCATCAATGCATCATGGGGCACCCCGACCTCGGTAGGACCTTCCCATAGGGGATTGCGGGCTAACCTCGACCGCTCGCGCGCCCGACCCTGCGCGACCCCAGTTAACGGCAAAGCGAGAATCCAAGACATACTTACTACGTACCACCCGGTCGGACTTAGACCACTAGTAAGATCCTCTTGAGTCTCCGCGTTGTCTCGACAGGCGACTCTTGCGGGCGCCCAGCCTGGCCCAGCGTCCCCCGATCCTCGAAATTTGTCAGACGCGCCACAGGGAGCGGGGTGCGGGGAGCCTCGCCGCGTGCGCGAGATATCGGGGGCGCCGCGGGAGGCATGGCGTTGGCAGGTTCCATGCCTCGGCGCACTAGTGCTCCTGCGACGCTCCACGCCGCACAGGTGTTGTGAAGTTTGCGTGCCGAGCGCAATTGTTCGCTGAATTTGGAGAAGGGAGGGTGGGCGTTTTGATGGGGGTGGACCGTGTTATACCGTAAGTACTCCGCCCCGGATGGCTAGTAGTTGTCTACCACTGATCTCGCGACATGGAGTTCATTTTGTCACTGGAAAATAGGCTTGACAGACATTAGCCGCGCACCCCGAGCAAATATACGTACCCCGGTCGGAAGGAGCCTATCTCGCCCTCCAGTGTCTCCAGAGTCCACAGAAGCCACGCACCTCCGTCGGCGGGGGTACGAACGTGCACTGGTACTGCACTCGCATCTGCGCCGGCATCAAGCACGGCAGCCTGCAGGCCTAAGAAGCCGCACAGAAGCCCGAGTCGCCCGAACAGGGTCGCGCGCGCGGACGGAAGAGGCAGGCGTCCAGGATCGAGCCTCCCCGCCGGGCGTACGAAGCGCGAACGCACGCCTCGTGGCGGGGCAGTGGTGGCGGCGGTCGTCCCGAGCGGGCGTGACGCTGCTCAGTGCTCGATCCGCTGCTGTCTGGCGCGTACTTGTCAGATGATGCGTAGCTCGTGCCCGCCGCGCGGGGTTCCGAGGAGTGCGCGAGCGGCGACGTACGACGCGTCGTCGGAGTCGGAGTCGTCCTGGGGAGACGCGATCGCGCGTGCGCCGTGCTAGTATTACATTGACAATTAGTGCTTCTCGCTTGGCGCGACGTCGAGACTCGCCTGGCAACTGCACGCGCAACGGACGCGGACGCGCCGGAGTCTGAGCCGCACAAATTACAACGTGCCCGACGCTCACCGCCGGCTGCCTATCCGCCAACTTGAACGAACGCCGTTCAACACATATCGCGCGCGATATCAAGCACGGGATGATACGTACGAGGGCGCTGCTGCTGAGCAATCCGGCGACATACAATAACACCAACTTTCTATACGATCCAGAAATACCGGGGGGAGTCGAGGACGACGACGGTCGCCGAGGAACTCGAGGGCTGGCGACCGGTAATCAAGCACAAGCTCGAGACCCTCCCTCGAGTCGCTCGGGGTCGGATTCCGGAAACATCGAGTCAATGGGTCATGCGCGCGCGACGAGACGACGTCGACACAAGCGAGATGCGCGCGGTCCGATGCGGCGCTGATCATCGCACTTGTCCCGGCTGTCCGCGCCACGCCAGATCTGATGCGCGCGATGCGTCCACTCGCGCTGTGTATATTGTATAATGGCAATGTATAATGTGTAATGGATGGGCGGACAATAGCAGCGCGCGTCGCGTGCTGTTGGCACGAGGCGGTGGGTTAAACATATAGCTGTTGGTTGATTCCGGCGGCAGTGAACATAAAATGTTCGCGGGTATTCGACATCACGCCTGCGGCCTGCAGAAAAATCAGATAGAACCCGTCCAATTGTTTACGATAGATATGAGAGGTATGCATTGCCGCGCAGGCGGGCGAAGTGTTACACAATGTACACGATCCGGGAGACCATTAGGAAGCAGTAAACGCACGAAACCGACATCACGCGGCGGAGTCAGCCTCCCACCGCCGTAATTGCACAGACATACCCGCGCACGACATGCACCGGACCCTGCACATTGCACAAGCGCGTTCCCCGATCACACCCTGACCTCGGGCTCGTCTGCAGCAGGCGCAGGCCCGGACGCGGAGCGCAGGTGCGTGTGGGCGTGGTTCGCGTGCTCCTCGGGCGGGACGACGTCGTACCCGCTGCGTCCGAGGTCGGAGGGGAGCACGGCGGTGTCCTCGAGTGCCTCCTCGGCAAGCAGGGTCTGCGTTTCGCCCGCATCCTCGTTGGGCGCAGCGGACGCGTGGGCGGCCGCCGGCCGCAGGAAGCGCGGGGGAGTGACCAGGTGGTTGAAGAGGAACTGTGCGGCGGGGCGCGGTCAGCGGGGTTACGACATGCAATGCGAGGAGCGACGCGGGGGAACTGACCGTGCCGTATCTGGAGACATAAGACGTGAGTAAACATCACGGCATGCGGACACGGGGATCGGGGTACATACACTAGGAGCCCGAACCCAGCGACTTGGAGCAGGGAGATCGGCCATACGAGCACCTCCCAGCCGAGCCCCAAGCTAACGATCCAGATGCTAAGCGTCCTGCACGTATCCGTCAGGCTGCGCGCGGTCGCGCTAACATGGCGCGTCACGCTGAGGCCGAAGAAGTTGAAGAGCGAGATGGATATGGCGATCACTACGCCGGACCATAGAACCGCTGGGGTGTCGATCATCTGGTGCCAGCCACGAGGCAGGTCGAAGAACGGAGACACCGAGGAGAAGCGCGCGAGAAGCGGCATGGCGAGAACGATGCTGACCGCGCCGAAAAGCCCTTCATAACCGACCGCCACCAGTGGCGCCACGGAGTAGCGGCTCATAATCTTCTCTGTATGCGCAGCGTGAGAGGTGGGCCGGTTAAACAAAGGTTTGCATGCGAGATAATTGGTCTGTACTGACCTTCGACTACGAACTGCGTGGCCGTACTGTGAACGTCCGAGCATCGGCGGAAAGAAGTGTTATCAGTATAGACTCCAGGAGGATGATTGAATACGCCAGGGAAGGGCGTTCGGAGAGAAGTGGACGGGTATGAACGTACAATATCTGCGCGAAGAGAATGAAGAACACGCCTGCGTGTTGCGGTCAGATGTCGGGGAAGCATACTGCGCACGAGAAGGAGATACACACCGACGAGGACCTTCGTGACTTCAGGCTCTTCCACGGGCTCCGTAGTAGGAAGCTCATCAAACATGTTTACTGCGGGCTCTTTGACGGCATCCTTGACCAAAGATCCGCTCAAACCGACGAGCGAAACGCCTGCCATAACCGTGATAAGGGATATCCATCTTGGGAACAAGAGTAAGCAGTTCGTCCCGGACAAGTCGCGTGGTAGGTGGCGTTGTGCTGCAAGGAGCAGAATGGGTGGGAAGCATGGTTAAACAAACTCAACTGGTACAGCCAGAGGCGCCTGCGGAGGAAGATTACGGAAAGTACACCGACAAAGAGGACGAGGGCTCCCCGGGTCATCTGATAGATCGAGACCGGGGTGTAGAGGAGGCCGACATTCATCAGCTGTATGGGCGCATTGTGACGGAGGAGGGTGTATGGGTGATTGGCATGAGAAGAACGGGTCGAGAAAGGGCTAGCGGTAGGCGTACCGTAGTGCCGGTGAGATCGCAAGCGGCGGGGAACCAGAGGAGGAAAACCTTCCACCCGTGGAGGTGCTCCTGGGGGATCACGGCCTTCGCCCCGACGGCAGGCTCCTCCTCGGAGTCGGTCGGGAGGCGCAGCGGCTGGGACGGGCGTTTCGCGCGGACCCAGGCGAAGATGACAGGAAGGAAGCCTGATGAATTACACGTGCGCGGACAGAGTGATGAGAATCGCCCGCTGCAAGCGAGAAGGGCGACGTACAGAGCATCTCTCCGACTGGCGCGGACGGTGACAGCGGTAAGTTATGGACGCATACGTGTGCGAGCACTGGGAGACGCACGGAACATCTGCAGCGTTTGCCACACCGGCTGCTCGTAGAGCACGCGGTGCGCGGGGTCGCCGTCGCAGTTCTCTACACATTGCATGTCCTGTGCGGGTGGTGTGGGTCAGGAGCCTCTGCTACGCGTGGGGGTGACGGACCTGCCACTTGCTCCAGAGGGAATTACTGGAGCCCTGGGAGCGGTCAGCGGGGCGCAGGGGCGCATACAGCGGGGGCGCGCACCGTGATGAGCATGCCCGCGATGAGGACGGGGACATAGAGCGAGGAGGGCATGGCGGGCAGGAGAGAGAGGACGACGGCGGGCGACTGCGAGAGTGGCGGGCGTGGGCCGGGGAGGCGCCGGAAGGGGAGATGATCGGGGGAAAGTAAATAAATAAATAACGGGATTCTGTGATTGTTGGGGACGATGGACGGTTTGTTGGATCACGGAAGCCAAATGCAACCCCGAATCCGAATTCGAACCCTGTCCTGCATCCGAACCCGAATCCGAATCCGATTCTGAATTCCATCGCCATGTACTTATATCACCCCCCGCCTGCCCGATGCCCCCTCTCCCCCCATGGTCCACCTCGTCCTCTCCACCACGAGGGGCAACTCTGGCAACCGCTACTTCCCCCACCAGGGCTACCTCGGCCTCACCCCCGTCCGCGTCGAGGGCGGTACGTCCCCCGTCTCCCCCCCGACCGCGCGCCACTGACCTCCCCCAGTCGTACGCACCAA